AGGGATATGGCTCTCTAACAATGTTATGTCATACAACAATACGTGAACATCTCTTCATCTGGTGTTAGCCACAGACCTTATTTCAGGCAACAAGATAAAAAAAGAGACAAGACACCGAAATGGCTCAAATGCTATCTAATTTCCATGTTTCAGGACTAGTGTGTGCACCACTCTATAACCAACGATTTGGGGTATTTACTGATGTATTTTATGTCGTAGAACAAAACGTGTGTGAAGGTAAACTTCTGTTGTTGCAATGTTGAGGTAGAATGAAGGAGTCTGGAACGTCGATTAGCCAAAGCACTTAGAGTTTATTGATCACAGTACATTAATTACATACGGCCGGGAGATCATCTTAGTTTCCCACCGTCCCGTGGTCCAGCAAGATCATTTCTGCCCCAGAATAGACCCAACACGCATCAACATGAGGAAACGCGGGCTCACAGAAAGCCCGCGTTTACCTAATCAATAGCCGATGAGAGACAATGAACTACTTGTCTCAAGAGATGCAGAAAGCCTGAAACCTTCCCCCCACAGGATATGGGAGAAGCGTTTGACCTGTGACCTCAACTTACACAGGAGTCTTTGACTGACTACAAGCAGATGTTTGCAGTATCACAGATTCTATAAAACAATAAGAAACTCTATAAACAGATCAGATTAAAATATTCTCTTACAACGTGAAAATCTCTTATTTCAGACAACTCATCAAAAACACATTTATAAAAACATTGACTTTGAGTTGAGGGAACTGGAAGTGGTAAAACATTAACAAAATGCCTGGTTTTAGGACTCGTGCCTGTATTACTCTAGACTGTACAACTATGCAAGCCACACTCAAGCACTGTGTGAGTCACAGTCACATACAGTATGAGAACAACACAATCAAACCCAGAATAGAAACGAGCAGCGCTGCTCAGTAATCTGTGTGTGTGTGTGTGTGTGTGTGTGTGTGTGTGTGTGTGTGTGTGTGTGTGTGTGTGTGTGTGTGTGTGTGTGTGTGTGTGTGTGTGTGTGTGTGTGTGTGTGTGTGTGTGAAAACGGTCACTGGAGATGTGCTGAAGAAGACCAAAGAGCGTAACATGTTCCCCATGTGTAACACTAACATGGATTCAGTATTTAAAGGATCATACCTCCTCTTGCTTTCCTCTTATACTATCAAATAACAATTCCATGGGGGTGAATCCAGTAAGACACTGCCTTACTAACACGCACACCTCCACAGCTTCTCATCTTGTTTGGAGGATTCCCAGCAGGGTAGAGGAACAGAAGAAAGGATAACACTAAAGGGATCACACTGAGTTATTTTGAGCTCCTCTCTTAAAATAGGTAACACTAGGTTTCTCAAAGTACAGGAACACATGTATTCCTTCCTGCATACTACTATTCAAGAGTCTAGTGATTTCTGATCTTGTAAAACAGTGGAAAACTTCCTAGGAATACAAAATGCCTCTCAATATCCATGCAACTTTCTTCAATCATGAAATAAGAGAGAAGAAGAGCAGCTGACAGTCAATGATGGGATAATGGTGCTTCTTTAACCCTTAGATGCCCTTAGAGTGACTGGACAGTACACTCTTCCTTAAGTGGGTCAAAAAGGACCCGTATTAGAATAATATGTGTTTTTATGCCATTGTTGTCATTTTGCTTAAGAAAAATCACGTGTATAATATTAAGTATTATATTTTGGTTCACACTAGAAATATTTTCTATTTTAATTTTTCACTATTTATAATTTTTGACATTTTTTTGACATTTTGAAAAAAAACGAAATTCCATAGAAATGCGTGTGGAAGCTTGGGGTAGTAATACACAAACTACAATTTCTTAAAATGTATAACATTTCAATTTAAAATGTGAATGGCATGATATCCAAAACATGTTTTTTGAGGAATAGCTGGAATATGAAATTATACAAAAAATGTAATTACAAAGATACTGTAAGAAAACCACCTCCCCGGGTCAAAAAAGACCCACTTATGCATCTAAGGGTTAAAACACCACTTTACATTTGTATTAAGTAAACTTAACCTGAGAACCACCTAAGGTCACTTTTCAGATGTGCTATTTGCAGCCCTAGTGAATTTCGTATAGCTAATTTATTTATTTGTTAAAACATGCGAAGGCAATTGCTTTATTTACAGCTTGAGTGAGCTCTGATGTAACACAGTTAACATAAATGCTACTCTTAGTATTTGACAAGCTGAGACAACCCCTGCGTAGTCAATTAGTTGACCAATCGCTGTTTTGGTTTTACTTCGCTAACATTTCTTGAGTTCATCTGACATTTTTGTAATGCTTTTTTCAAGATGAATGACTTATTTCAAAAATGTTCATGAGCAAATATCTGGTGGACAGAAGATTTAAGTATCTGTGGAAACTCAGTTTTACAGATCTGTCCTCTTTCTACCATTCAATAAATCAGCAAAATCCTATTCAAATCATGAACGTTTACCACAAAGATGTTTAGTGGAGTCCAGCCTTAACAGGTTGCCTGTCACTGTCATTTTTTGGTTGGTGAGCTTCTATTGTGACAAATCATCTTAAAGTCATCATTATGTGTCAGAGACTCAGAAACACCTGCACAGACTTCTTTGGAACACAATGTTTATTTAGAATATATTTGTTGGCATTTAGAGTCCATTTTGAGCAGTTTAAAAAGAAACATTTGTTCATTTTCTAACTATTGCATTGAATTCTTATGAAATAATATCTTGAAGGAGGGAGGCATATTGAAGGGCTAAGTTCTGGCTGATTGGCAGATGGTGTTACTATGGATGATATCAGGTGAATATACAGTATGCCTACAGTCACTCCTCTGTGCTGCCACTCTGTGTCATCACACCTCCGAACCTCCGCTATAACCAGGGAAACCCCGGCGGAGAGAAACAGCTGACTCACACGATGCCTCCCATCACGGGCCTCTAATTAAAAGAGTGATAACACGGAGCGTTTGTTGAATGCAGTAATCCAAAGACTCTCACAGCTACACAAACACTTGCCTTTTTTAGCCCGGGGATTGAACCCTGACCCCGTCTGTGATAGCATCAAAGATAACGCCATTGAAGTACACACATAAGACATTAATAATTCACATGGAGTTGCATTGTTTTTCCTTTTGAAGTGTTGCTGAACTAAAGGACAACCCCACTGAAAGCATTCAGAGTATGTGTCCCAGTTTCTGAAGGGAAGGAGAGAGACCACTGTAGCTCTGCTATGCCGTCAGGTGGATGTTGGACATCAATACAATTCTCCATGCCAATGTCTGGGCTCTTTTGGCCTGGGAATAATATGTCACACCTAGTTTAGATTCAAGTGGCATGGAGGAAACATTGCAGAAATCCATAGCATTGAATTACAGCTCCACAAAAATATTTATTTTTATTTGTAGAGCTTTTGTTGATGCTCATCTTCAACTCATTTTAAGGATGTTTCTCAGATGATACCCCACAGAAACAAAGCCTGGCATTCATTCAGTATTGTTGCATATAGGCTTTCATTGGAATTGTATCATGTTTTAGTTCAAAACATAAAGAAAAAGGCTTTTCTAAATAGCTTCTTCCAAGCTTATGTTGTTAAAAACCAAAACAATGTGGTTTTTTATAGCCAATAAGTTTGATCTGAGTCTAAAATATCACACAATGGAACACATTAAACTTACTTTAAAGGTTATTATTGGTCTCAATAATGTAAAAAATTCATCCAAATTCAAATGGTTTAAAATATTAGAGTTAATCGGTTCAGGTGTACTTTACTTTTATTTTAGGATTTTGTCTCTAAAACTGCTAAAAGTGTGTTCTTTTCCTGATGTTTAAGCTGCATAAGAATAAAGTGATGCAATGTTCTGAATTTCCAGACTGCTTTATCATTTGATTAAGTTGATTTACCAACTTCATCTTTACATGCACATTACTGATGATTATTTAAAACCTCTTTACTGAGAGGCAAAACAAGTTACTACAGTGGACTAGTGATAAGGGCCCATCAGTTAAAGTAAGGTACTTTGGAATATCAAACAAATATCGAAAATGCCTGAAAATCTGAGCTGTTTTTCTATGTAGAAGAATGTATTATGGCATTACGGGGTTTCTGAAAATGAAGCAAAAAGTCAATAGATATATAGTTTTTATAAAATAATTGTGTAAATATTTTGTGGAAGCATCGATAGTCAACCTTACAATATTGCCAGAATATCAATATCCATAGAATTTTCCTCACATCGCCTGTTCATAGCTCACAGTATCTACCTCTAGTTTGAGGAAACACATGTCAGCAATTCAGCTCGTTTAGGTCACTTTTTAAGGGGTGGGGGGGGGGGGGGGGGGGGGTCCCACTGAGTTAGCCCCAGTGAAGTGGACCCCTCTCCACTGAGTGTGTGCTGGCTGCCCCACAGAGAGCAGCTGTCCCCTGCAGCTTGTTGCTGCCTCCTCACCCCGCTCCGCAGCTCTACTTTCCTCAGATAAAAATAGCTAACGATGCTAACAGATGCACCGGCCCCTGTCTATCTATCTATCTGGGCTCACACACACACACGGGCGTGCACGCGCGCACACACACGCGCGCGCACACACACACGCACGCACACACACCTACGCTTGAGCCCAGAATACTCTGACATAATAATAAGGTGCTTAGGGGATCAGTGCTGTAAAGATCATAATATGATACGTTAAGATTCCAGCGCTCGCATGAGATGATAGTGATCAATGAGAGAGAGACGGACTTATAAGCGGGTCATGGTACATTCAGGGCACTGCGAAAATAGTCAACTATATATACAGAGGCTTGGCTCGGAGAACTGCAACTACACATTTGACTGAAATATCCCATGCCAGGAAAGCACAAGTGAAGAGGCTGAAGGAAATGATGCTGGAAGATCAGGTGTCAGTTTCACACCGAGGGTTCAATCATGAGTACAAATCAAATGAAACATGTCTTTAAACTCCTCTCCTCAGTGCAGAGCAGTGTGTTTCCCAAACAGGAAAGTGAGCGGGACTCACCGTGCGCAGGAACTGGATCTCCTCCTCTCCCTCTCCCCCTTCTGCCATCCTTCACCGAGGGTTATTGGCAGCTCCTCGGGAGAAAAGAGAAAATCCTTCTGTTCAGGATCTTTTTTTTATTTCCTTTTTTTTTACGTCCCTCCCTCTCGCACTCCACGTTCTCTCCTTGCTTTCTTCCTGCTGTACCCTCCTCTCTCTCTCACGCTGTCAGTGCTTGTGTGTGTGTGTGTGTGTGTGTGTGTGTGTGTGTGCTGGAGGACAGCGTGAGTCCTGTGGCTCTCACGGTGTTGTGAGAGAGAGTGACGGGAGGCTCTTCTCTCCTCTCGCCCTGCATCTCCCCCCCCCCCAACCAGATGAGTGAGGGAGGGGGGGAAGAGGGGGCAGGCACCTTGTTACACATTTACACGACTCCCATCCCACCGGTCCGCCATGTTTGTAGAAGTGGGCCACTCCTTCACACAGGGCTGACCCCCACCAACACACACACACACACACACACACACACACACACACACAGCTCCCTCTACATGTCTGAGGCTATAAAAGGAAAGTGGGGGTGAGGTCTAGTCTTTGGGGAGTGTGCAGTTAGAGCAGACACACACCTCTACTCTTCAAAGTGAATAAGTCAACTGCACTGTACAAAATGAAGCATTGGTGCGTTAACATTACATCAATGGGAGCTGTTTGGCAGACACACACATCTGACCTGACAGTCAGCTGATGAGGTTAATGTCATGGTCAGGTTATCCTGGTCTCTGACAGAAAACCCCCCAGGAAGTGAGTCTGGGAAATGTTCATACTTTTTCAAACACAGGTACTACATCTCCAGTGTAAGTTTGTGATGTCATTTGGCCAAAAATACTTGTTCCCATTGCCTTACATTGGAAAGGAGACGTCTGTAAATCAGTGTTTCTTTTACTCTAACAACCTCACAGTACGAACATAAGAATAGACCTTATTTCGATCATGAGGTACAACAATTGCAAAATGCGCTAAAAGCCGACGCAGAGATATTTTTCGAAGACCAGTTGTGATGTATGGGAGGCGGGGCTAATATAAAACCCTCTGGGGCCAGATCCCCAGATGATCCCGGATTGTTTTAACTCCTCTGTCAGGCCATTTCTGGCACTGAGCCACTTTCATAAGAATGAACAGGGCCCCGCCTCCAATGCCACCAAATCTCATGATCAAATAAACTCATCATGAACAAATGTAAGTGTAAGAATAACTGGAAACTTGGATCTAAAGAGGCCCTATTATGCTCTTTGGGGTGTTCTCTTTCCTGCAGTGTGTTATATAGGGGTTTCTGCATGTAAATGGTCTGCAAAGGCTAAAATAAAGTTCTCTCCCACACACTCCCCCTTCCTGGCTGAAATGCCTCCATTGACTCCTTTGTTTACTTCAGTAACATAGTGACATCACTATGTAAAACTCGTACTTCTATTGGCTAGCGCTCCAATACATTTTACGAGATAGGCTAAAGGGCAGGACATCGCTAAGCGGTTGAGCAATCACAACAGAGCCGGCCAGCTAACCAATCAGAGCAGCTCTGGTTTCAGACAGAGGGTGAAAAGAGGTGCTGCAGCACAGGCAGTCTGAGAAAAATAAGGAGCTTTTTGAACATTAAAGCATGGAGACATGTCTCAGTAGAGACACTACATATGAACCCTGAAATGAGCGCAATATCTCTGCTTTAAATATTGTACTATCTGTGACATTTTCAACAACAATCCAAGCCAAAGTTAAAGATAAAAATAATACTTAGAAATCAAAGTCTGGTCATCTCATTGTGGAAGAGGAATAGGTCCACATGGGAAAAATGTAGTTCTGAGTACTTTTTTGGGAATTCAGAGTTTTTGTTCATAGAAATCCCTATAAACACTTTAGGGAGAGAGTCCCGCAGGAGGAGAACCACACCTTCATCTCAGACTTCTGACCTTTAAGTTGGAACTGTTAGGACAGGGATGGGAAAATGGCGGCCCGCGGGCGGCCCCCACCTCCTCTTTTTGCGGCCCTCAGATTAATTTATAAACAACGTAATTAATAATAAAAAATTATTATTTTTTTTTTTACCTGTAGTACTGATACCGTCCACTAGACTCCTAGTTACGTCGCGAGCTGCGTAGATGATTTAAAATACCGCAAAATAATCTGTGACGCATTTGTGTGTATTGTGTTTGTTTCCCGGGGAAACCCTCACAAGAAACACCGGCTGTTGTTATGCCTGCTGTGACGTTAAGTTGCCTCTTGTAATTATGCCGTTACAAGCTTAAAAGTTGTTTGTATCATCTGAATTTGGCGAAACAAGTTTAATATTCTTAAAACCAAGACTTTGTTTATTTGAAATCAGATGAAAACAAACTGTCACGGACCCTGCCGTGTTATCTATGATTACTACGCTTTTCATTCATAATTTCAGCGGGAGGGAGGGGGAGTGGTGCTGAGGAACAGCAGAGTGCGGGCTGACAGGGTGTCTGTGTTGACATTCCCCTTATTGTGGAATAAGGGGAATGCAGAGACTGGCTACAAGTGTTTTAGGTTCAAGTTAGACAACTAATGTCTGGGTTAGTGTTCATGACTTCATGTGTATGTCATCTAATGGTTCATCTCAATACACACACATTTTCCGTGCTTTCCAATAGTTTAAAATAGTTGTATTCCACTGTTAAATAACCTGTTCAATACAAACATGCCACTTTAAAAATGAAATAAAATGTCTGTGAACTGATATTTGTTTAGTGAGCTTATTAGAGGATGTTTCCATTTTGGGGGGATGTTCCCTTTGATTGTAAAATGTCAATGAAGATGTCAGACTTAGTATATATGTTAATAATTACATACAACACATGGCATTTTTGTGTGTGTGTGTTCCAAGTGAATCTGCGGCCCCCCAATGATGTGGCCCCCACCACCATCAAAGTTGCCCATCCCTGAGTTAGGACATTAATGAAAAATGGCTAAATCATGTACAAATTGTTGCCTGATAAGATTATTCTTATTTAATCAAGAAAACAAATCTCAAAATGGTCTTCTGTTAGGATTGATTGTGGTTGGATTGATTGATTGATTGATAGATAGTGACTATCATTACATTCAGATTCATCAAGTGTCAAACTCTTGAAAGAATCCATGAAATCACCGTTTTCCAAACACAGTCCAGCTTTACACTCACATTAAATAAATCATAAATAAATCCCCTTAGTACTATTTTACATGTGTACCTTTATCTTTGTTCTCCCAACCCACTTGCACAGTTATGTTTTTGTTAATTGGACTATTTTAAGTTGATTTTTGCTAGTTATTCTGTAGTTTACATTATTAGACGAGACAGAGACTTAACATTTTCATAGGCTTAACTGCCCTGTAGCTATTGTGCAAATGACAAATAAAGCATTGTTATCCATTAAAAATATCTACTATACCTTGACACATAATTGCAAATAGATTATGATAAGACAATGTAGCAGAATATGTGCTGACAAAGGACAAAAAGGCTATTATCTCACAATGTACCAGCTCAGCCTGATGCCTCCCTGAGGGGAGAGCAGGATCAGTGGCACACCCCTCTTTATCAGGCAGCAGGATGCACCACACAGAAAAGGTGTAAGCCTGAGCAGAAAAAAAGAGCATCTCACAGAAACCCTCCTCCAGACAGAGTGCAGTGCCTCAGCTCTCACATACCTGCTCAGTCTCCATCGAGCATCCTCCAGCAGGCTCTGCTCCTCACCCATGTCCCTGCAGCAGCCGGCTGAGGGAGGTGTTCAGGGACGCCGGGAAACCACTCTGTCCGGCGGTTAGAGCCGAGAGGAGGAGAGGAGAGGAGGCGGAGGAGGTGACACGCCACTGAAGCAGAACTAACATGAATTCTGGGAGAATGAGTCCTGGATATATATACACAGAAATGACCTGCTGCTGGCTGTTTTTTGCCAACTCACGAATCCGCAAAAAAGTGCATTTGCGACGCAGCGCCGGAAGATGGCGACATTTTACTGACCATTCAACTTAAATCTATGTACAATTCATTCTTGCCCAAAATGATTAATAATTAAAAAATAAATAGCTCCAAATAAAGTCACGCAAGCATCACAGTCAAACAAAGGTAGGCTACGTTTGGTTGATGGGTTCGTGTATTTGTTGCTTCCGTGGCATTTAATTAAAAACAAAAGTAGGAAAGTGAGTGATTTATCCAACAGACCCTGAAGTAACGCTAGTGTTTGGCTCGCTAGTTACATGACTTTGCTAACAACGACACAACATTTACGAACTTGTCACACCACGAAATACGTTGCAATCTCTACAAATATATGAAGAAGGACTATTGAACTCTAAGCTTTACTATCTCGCCATACCTGAACAGAGTTATTGAGCGTTCCTTTTTTACTTTTCGTTACAGTCAATGTGCTTCAATATCATATTTAAAAATAACTTCCGTTTTTGTTTAAGACTTCCGCTTTGACAACAAATAACAAAATAAAAGCCTTGAAACAAAATGCACTTAATTCCCAAACTTTAATCACAAAAATAACTAACATATGGGCGGATTTCTTTTGGAAAATCAAAAGCTCAAATGTAATTATATTGATGAATTATAGTCAAAATGAGGTAGCCTTGTGTTATATCAGCATGTGTCTTTATATTAACCAGCTGTGTAGATTGCAACTCTTCCTGTTTTACAGGACTATTGCATAACTTTACAGTAAGATTACCACATGTTGCTCGGAAATAGAATTGTGAACTTTTTGTTCCTTCTATGCCGCCTCTGTTCCCTGATTAAGTCCTCCAATGATCTCTTTTCTGATGCAAATCCCAATGCATTTTTTGGTGTTTTGAGCTCGGCGTGCATGGACTGCAGGATTCCTGCTCGGTGCATCTTTCCCTGCTTTTCAATGCCATATCGCCCCCTCTCTCTGCCAGCCAGTCCGCTTCCTCCTGCAGCAAAGAAGCCACCTCTGCAGACTCGGGGGACATTAATGTCCCCTCTTCCTCTTGGTGTGTTCAAACAAGGATGTCTTTGAGGCTCCCTGTCCAGCTGCACGGCCACATTCACCAGCACAAACACTACCTCCCTGTGTAATCACTTGCCACCCTGAGAAATGACAGAGGGAGTTAAATAAAGGAGAGAAGGGGAAAATAAGGGTGATAGACTTGATTTGGTGGGCCATGGAGACCCTACACCCATGTCATGATTCAACAAACATCTAATGATTTATTTTCAGGAACTGATTCCTTGCCACACAAATCTGCACCAAAAAGTAGCACTGAGGTGTGGCCTGTTTCTTTTTTCTGATGCTCTAAAAAGAACCGCAGATGTCGCTTCCTGGAGTACACCG